TTAGTCCTCTCCATAACCAAGTCAAGTCTCTCTTCGTGTCCTGGAAATGTCTCCCTTTATCTTTGATAGGAAGGGTGAATGTTATCAAAATGAATATCCTTCCTAAATTTTTATATTTTTTCCAGTGCCTTCCTACATTTATTCCAAAATCTTTTTTTTTTTTTTTTTACAGTTTTGCAGCGAAATATTTCTTCTTTCATATGGAATAAGTCAAAACGAATGAATCAAGGTCACCTTATGAAACCAAAGTGTTTGGGGGGCCTGGCTCTGCCAAATTTTCAAACCTATTATTGGGCAGCGAACATTAGGAATCTGTTATATTGGGTGCAGCAGGATTTACAATTAAAGAAGTCTCAGTGGGTACTGATGGAAGCTGCCTCTTGTACTCCAGCAACTTTAACATCCTTACTAAGTGTACCAGTTCCCTTTAAGTATACTACTTTAATTTTTAAAAAATCCAGTTGTTAAGGATTCATGAAGGATTTGGTCTCAATTCCGTTTAGTGTTAGACCTTAAAGACCCTTGTACTATGGTGCCGTTTTTTTGCAATATTTAATTTCCACCCTCTTTGATGGATAGGGCTTTTAACACCTGGAGGGAACATGGCTTAGCTACAGTTGGTGAGCTATACATTGACAACAATTTTGCATCCTTTACACAAATTAGAGAAAAATTTGACTTACCCAGCTCCCATTATTTAGATACTTTCAGATACGGAATTTTATTCGTAAGCAGTCTTCTAACTTTCCCCTTTTGCCCACTAAAAATATACTTCATGATATATTAGGCCTGTATGCATCTTCGAAAGGGGTTATTTCTAAAATCTATACTATAATTAACACAAAACAGTCCCCGTCAATGCATCCATTGAAGGCGCTCTGGGCGGAGGAATTGAATATGACGTTTGAGGAAAATATCTGGGATCTAATTCTTGCCCATATACACTCATCTTCTATAAACGCTAGACACACACTCATTCAATTTAAGGTGGTGCACATTGTCCATCGGTCCAGAACTTAATTTAACAAAATATTTCTCTTTCTTTCTTTATTTGAATGTATAACTATGATTGCCTGTTTTTTCTTCATATGAATTAATGTATGGTTGTATGTTATATGTAGATGTGTATATCTATTATTTGTAGCATATTACTATATTTACGTTATTGTTACTTTCTGTTTGACTTAAGATGAACCAAATAAAAGCTTAAAAAAATTAATAAAAAAATAACACCTTGGGCCTACACGAGTGCAACAGAAAAACATTGTGGTAAGAGTGCTTTCCAACAAGAAGCACTTCAGAAATAGCTTAAATTGCATTTATCAGGACTCATGGTATCTTAAAAAACTAATCCAAATTGCAAACTAAATCCAACCCTGGATATTTTATATAATTTTGAAATGAGTTTGTGAACCCGCAACCTCATATTCGTATAGAATGAGATGTAAAAAACTGTGAACTGTCAAAAAGTGATAAGGTATAGCTAAGGGTGGTCCAGACCAACCATACGAAAGTATGACTTACAGAAGGTATACTTAACTAAGAATGTTTTGAGAAACATGTATTAACGATAAGGTTTAGGTAAGGTTAAGGTACAACTTAAGAACGACGTAGCATTAATAAACGTCATCTTTGTCTCATAGATCTCAGAAGCTTCATCAGGAGATTTTCTGTGTGTTTAAGATTAGAATAAAAGTCAGAGTGAGAGTTAATGGATTAGTAGAGCTGCATGATTTAGGAAGGGGAAAAAATAACTGATTTTTCTGGTTAAAATATGATTTTTAAAACCAATATGGAAAAAAAAACAAACACCAGGTTTGTTGTGCTTCTGTAACGGAGGCCAGCGAGGAGGTGCTGTGCAGGTAAACCTTGCTTCCCTGATCTCAAGAGACACGCTAGTGGCTGCAATCTTTAGCCTCCTTGTTAGTGCGTCTGCCTCCTATGCCGGAGACCCGGGTTCGAGACCCACTCGGAACGAGGTGTGGCGGTGAGGACCCGGGGGAGAGGGGTTACATTGATGCCGTGACCCGGATGGGAGTGAGGTTTTTAGGGGGTGAGTGTAACGGAGGCCAGCGAGTAGGTGCTGTGCAGGTAAACCTCACTCCCCTGATCTCAAGAGATGCGCCAATGGCTGCAGTCTTCAGCCTCCTTGTTAGTGTTTGCGCCTCCCAATGCCGGAGACCCGGGTTCGAGACCCACTCGGAATGAGAACAAGAACGAGGTGTGGCGGTGAGGACCCGGGAGAGAGGGCTTACATTGGTGCCGTGACCCAGATGGGAGTGAGTTTTAGGGGGGGTGAGTGTAACGGAGGCCAGCGAGTAGGTGCTGTGCAGGTAAACCTCACTCCCCTGATCTCAAGAGACGCGCCAGTGGCTGCAGTCTTCAGCCTCCTTGTTAGTGTTTCCGCCTCCCATGCCGGAGACCCGGGTTCGAGACCCACTCGGAATGAGAACAAGAACGAGGTGTAGCGGTGAGGACCCGGGAGAGAGGGGTTACATTGGTGCCGTGACCCAGATGGGAGTGAGGTTTTTAGGGGGGTGAGTGTAACGGAGGCCAGCAAGTAGGTGCTGTGCAGGTAAACCTCACTCCCCTGATCTCAAGAGACGTGCCAGTGGCTGCAGTCTTCAGCCTCCTTGTTAGTGTTTCCGCCTCCCATGCCGGAGACCCGGGTTCGAGACCCACTCGGAATGAGAACAAGAACGAGGTGTGGCGGTGAGGACCCGGGAGAGAGGGGTTACATTAGTGCCGTGACACAGATGGGAGTGAGTTTTAGGGGGGGTGAGTGTAACAGAGGCCAGCGAGTAGGTGCTGTGCAGGTAAACCTCACTCCCCTGATCTCAAGAGACGCACTAGCGACTGACGCTAGTGGCTGCAGTCTTTAGCCTCCTCATTAGTGCGTCCGCCTCCCATACCGGAGACCCAATCGGAGCAAGAATGAGGTGTGGCAGTGAGGACCCGGGCGAGAGGGGTTACACTTCTTTGTAGGGCTGCACAATTTGGCCCAACATTTTCTGCTATTATATTATAATAATCACTGCAAAAAATGCTTTTCTTACTTAGATTTTTTTTCTTGTTTCCAGCCAAAATATCAAAAAATTCTTAAATCAAGAAGTATTTTCTAGGAGTAAAGATTATTGTCTTGTTTTCAGAAAAAACAAGTCAAAATTAAGTGAGTTTTTCCTTAGTTTTTCCTTAGAACAAGCAAAATTATTTAGCTTGTTTCAAGCCAAAACTCACTTAATTTTGACTTGTTTTTTCTGAAAGCAACACAATAATTTTGCCCGATTGAGGACTATTTAGAGGAGTTCCTCGAGCTCTCACATCAAGTGCCCTGGAACAATGACACTCTAAAGACCGTTTTCTGGTGCGGCCTAGATGATCACCTGTATCAACAAGTTCCAGCAGGTGCTACTCCAGGTTCTTTTCAAGAATATATTGATGGTATTCTGAGGTTGTGTGGATCACCGTTTACAGTACAGGAAGCACTTCCCAAGTCCGCTGCCATGAGTAGGGTTCCTGAACCTGTTCCAGTTTTCGATTCGGAGCCCACTCCTGAGCCTATTGTCCCCATAACCTCTGCCAGGAGAAAGAGATGGAGAAAGGATAAGCTGCGAGTGTCTGTTCCAGCCCCAGAGCTCGCTCCAGTGTCGGCTCCAGCCCCAGGGCTCACTCCAGTGTGGGCTCCAGCCCCTGAATCCAGCCCGAAGAGGGCTCCTACCCCCAAGTTTGGCCCAGTGAGGGCTCCTGCCCCCGAGTTTAACCCAGTGAGGGCTCCTGTCCCCGTGTTTAGCCCAAGGAGGGCTCCAGTCCCTGAATCCCCTCCAGAGCGCACTCCTGTGCCTGCGCCTCTAGAGCCCGCTCCTCGAAAGCGCCCTCCAGAGCCCGCTCCTCGAAAGTGCCCTCCATAGCCCGCTCCTCCAGAGGGCCTTCATGACCCCGTTTTAGCCAAGATGCCCGTAATTCTCCCCAAGTATTTTTTTGAGGGGGATTATAGGGCTCCAGCCATAGAGGCCGGGGCAGGGGCTGGGGCCAAGGCCTCGGCGGCTGCTCTGTTGGCTGAAGTCTCTGGTTTGGCAGACATGACGTGAACAGGCTCTGGCATGGTGGGTACTGCAGGATTGCGGTACCTCATCTGCATTTCCCACAGTAAATGAGGAACTGCTTAGTAAGTGGGCAAAGCCCATTTTTTTGGCCCAGAGTCCATGCAACAGTGGTCTCAGGCATTAAATAGTTCCAGTGGTCAGTAAGTCCATTGCTAAAAAGTGGACCTTGAGGGTCCACCTTACAGCAAAGTCTGCAAAGCTCCTCCACATAACTCTCCAGGGATCGATCTCTCTGATACCCCTTTTCCACCAATTCAGTTTGGGTGCTGGTTCGGAGCTAGAGCCAAGTTTCAAATCGGTTCTTTGTCTTTCGACACCCAAAGCACCAGCTCCGAACCAGGAAAAGTGGTTCGTAAGTAGCACCAAAACATTGGGCTAGAAGTAAGAACTGCTTGTGTCAGGTGCTGGGGGCGGGGTTACCGTGACCAACAAAATACTTTTAACCACCATATTTGAAATAACAGCTAAACACGAACACGTTGGATTCGCTGTGTTTGGATGCTGATGTAGGTTCTTAAAGCCATGAACATCAATAGCAACGCAACATCCACCATTGTTGATGGTGTTTAGGCTTGTTCGGGATGGCTTGCCGGACCGGTCAGTGCGTGGCACCGGTGTGCCGCGGGAGCGACTGGAAGACAGACGGCTCTTTATGCTTTTGGATCATTCCCGTGGCGCTTCGGTGCCGATGCATCCTGAACAAGCCTGTTGTGTTTGGCGCTGCCGCGCTACCGTTGCTAGGGGAAATGAGACGTATTCAGATGCCGTAAGACCTGGCTCTGTGGTGGCTCTCTAGCCAGTGGAAAGGTACACCGGTTCGTAGAAGGCTCGCCAGTCGAACCAACTCTGAGCCAGCAATAGCACTGGCTCTGAACTAGCACCCGGTTCATGCTGGTGGAAAAGGGGTATAAGAGAGCTGCAAGAGCTGCACTGCTGGGTTCATTTTTAACGGTCTAGCTTTCTGTAACAAACGTTAACTGGAGACATGTTGCAGTGTGAACTTGTGTAGTATTATTTGCAGTAACGTGAATTAAACACAAACTAAACAAAGACTTGGCTTGGTAAACATGAACTAAACATGGACAGAAACAGAACTCACCAACAGTGTTACAGGCAACGAAGCTAGACAAGAGACAATAGGAACATGAGGGCTATTTATACTAACAGACTAATGACAAACAAGGAACTCCTGTGAACCATCAGTCAAAGAACCAATTAGAACATAAAACACATGACTAGAACAACCAATCAGGATATGACCCAATCACAAGGGGTGCATATGGCAGAATAACACGAGGAGTAAGGGAAGCACATGACAAATAGGAAGCATGACAGCGAGAAATACAAAATAAAAGATATGAAAATATAAACATGAAACATAACCCAAAACCATGTGACAGAATTAAACAAGAAATGATGTAACATTTCCGCAATATTTACAGCTAGTCTATTCGCACGCGAATAGCATTACCTGAGATAATTTTCCTTTTTACTGAAGGTAAAAGTCACCTAAATATTTACTGATATTATCCATAATGATTACTGAGATGGCACATTCAGATGGGACTAAAATCACTGAGAAGCTCTGGTTATATTTACTCTATCCCACCACTCCATGTAAAACTAATCCTGTCCAAATAGGTTTTAACAAAGAACACAATCAGGGTCTCACATTTACACAACTTTTAAATTTTTATCTGTAAGTGTGATGTTTTAATTAGACTGATCACAATTTAATTGTCTTTCTTCAGAGTGAATGCGCAGATGATTGTTGAAATTGCCATTTTCATCAGTGTGGCAAGGTTTGGATTTTCTTTCCAGAATGAGCTTTCGTTTCGTGTCGTTTCAGGTTTGTGTGATACGAGAAACTCTTTTCACACTGAACACACTTGTAAGGCTTCTCTCCAATGTGAACTCTCATGTGAATCTTAAGGTTTCCTTTAACCGTGAAGCTCTTTCCACACTCTTGGCAGGTGAAAGGCTTCTCTCCTGTGTGAATTCTCATGTGATTCTCAAAGTTTGCTCTCTGTGAGAAACTCTTTCCACACTGGTGACATATAAAACAGTTCTCCCCTGAGTGAATCCTCATGTGAAGATCAAGGTGTGCTTTATATATGAAACTCTTTTCACACTGATCACAAACAAACGGCTTCTCTCCAGTGTGAACTGTCATGTGGGCATTAAGGTACTTTTTCTGATTAAAACGCTTTCCACAGTGACAGCATATGAATGGCTTCTCTCCAGTGTGAACTCTCATGTGAATTTTAAGATTTTCTTTTCGTGTGAAGCTTTTCCCACACAGTTTGCAGGTGAAAGGCTTCTCTCCGGTGTGAATTCTCATGTGAATTTCAAGATTTTCTTTTTGCGTGAAGCTTTTCCCACACAGTTTGCAGGTGTAAGGCTTCTCTCCGGTGTGAACTCTCATGTGAATTTTAAGAGTTTCTTTTCGTGTGAAGCTCTTCCCACACAGTTTGCAGGTGTAAGGCTTCTCTCCGTTGTGTTTTCTCATGTGAATTTTAAGATTTTCTTTTCGCGTGAAACTCTTCCCACACAGTTTGCAGGTGTAAGACGTCTCTCCAGTGTGAACTGTCATGTGGGCATTAAGGGTATTTTTCTGTGTAAATCTCTTTCCACGCTGAGAGCATATGAAAGCCTTCTCTCCAGCATGGATTTTCATGTGAATGTTAAGATTTCCTTTTAGTGAGAACCCCTTCCCACAGTGTTGGCAGGTGAAAGGGCTCTCTCCAGTGTGAACTTTCATCTGGACTTCAAAGTTTCTAGTTTCTGTTTTATGAGTCTTTGAGTAACTAAAAGATTTCACCCCAACCATGAAATCATGACATTTCTCATACTGATCTTTCTCTTCCATTTTATTCAGCTCTTGACTCTCTTCTTTCAGCGCCATCAGGTCTAGGGTGAACAGAAACAAGAACAAGTTAACACCAGTTTAATGACACAAACAACAGACGGGACATCAATTCCAACAAGTATGCTAGATCCTATACACAACAAACAACTTAAAATAGGTGTAACCTGTAATCTCAAAACCTCTTAGGGTGAGCATAAGTGCCATTTTTCCCGAACACATCCTTGCCAGGATTTGTTTTGGCTTTGTTTTCCTGTTTTCATACTTGCTGAAGGTAATGATCGAAAAGTAGTTTGATCAATAACATGCAGGCATTGTACATAATGGATCAATCATGGTGTGTGAGAAGGTGGGATCTATGGTCAAAGCGATGCAAATACGAGTACATACTAGGTGTGTTCAGCTTAAAGCGGCGCGGCTCAGACCAATCAGTGTTTGACATCAAAAGTACCTCGAGAGCGTTTTGAAAGCATTAGGAACTGTCTGTATGGTACTTTGATGTCATACACCGATCGGTCTGCACATGCAAATAAAGCCAAAATCTAGATATTTTAGGCAATATAGAAATCCTGGCCAGGACGCATCCGGGAAAAATGGCACATATGGTCACCCTAAAATCTCTTCAATATTCTTAACTCTTTGCTTCTTTAGGAAATGTCCAAAATACTCTCAAGCTGAAAGTTATCAAAGCCCTTATAGTCCCTCATTAACACCTCACACGTCTGCGACGCATTACGGCTCCAACAAGGTTTAGTTCCATCCTCCACATGGCGCCAACTCACACCAGAAGCGTTTTAGAAGCAAAGCATCTGAATTTGCGAGACCACATGATTTGCCTGTCCGACATGGTTTTTCTTGATTTTTGGGGTTCTACCATGGGTAAGTTGGCTAAATGGTAATGTTTTATGTTATGTTTAATTGTGTTTATTGTTGTGTTTATTGCAATGCCCTACTTTGTTGTGCTGTAGATTACAGTTAATACACTTCAAAGTCCAGTTATGAACCACAAGGATAAAATATGTTTAGCTGTGTTTTAGTCATTTAAAAAAACACCCTTAATTATCTTGTATCTGTATTTCAAATTCAGTCCCTGTGAGCAGGAGGAGAACACTGGCATTTGTTCTCCTACTGAAAAGTCTACAGAGGGGCAGAGGGAGAATGAGATGGTATTGGGTGCATCCGCTCAACCAAAGAAGGAGACAACAAGTTAATTTTCATCATCTTGTGGCTGAACTGAGGCTGGACAGCCAACGGCATCATCAGTGTAGAGCAGAGGGATGAGGAACCGGAGAGAAAACTGAACTGAACAAAACAACAGCAGGTAAGCACACCAATGATCTGACAAAAGACAATAGCAAACACTCCACATATATAGCAGTCCTGACGAGCTTCAGGTGTACTGAACTGATTAGCTCGGCGGCTGAGAAGCATTGCCCCAGCAATGAGCTCCGCCAACACGTGACAAGGAGAGACAAACAAAACAAACAGGAATGAACGCACAGACCTGTGAACCGTGACTGTACTCCTCCTCCTAAGAGAGAAGAGCCTATCAGAGGTGCCTACCTGTCGATTGTAATCATTGATAAGGGAGTGAAGCAGTATGTCCCTTGCGGGAACCCAACTTCTCTCCTCCAGACCGTAACCTTCCCAGTAGAGGTCTTCACGGGTCCACTTGGATCCGAAAACCCGAGGTCCGACCCAAGACCCGAGCGGGTTCGTGTCCAAAATTTCTACGAGTGCCTCGGACACGGGTCGCATTCGGTATTAGCGGCCTCGGGTCTTGGGTAATTTAAAATAAATGTGCTTTTTTTCTTTGTGTGCAGAAGCCTTTAAATAAATGCAGGCGGGTCAGACTCGGGTCTAATTTCATCGGGTCTGTCACGGGTCGGGTTTTTCTTTTTTTTTAAATAATTTATGCACGTCGGGTTTGGGCAAGAAGTGATTCGTGTCGGGTACAGTCCACCAAATACTGGAATGCTCCCTTCCGTCTCGAGTCCACAATACGTCTGACTGAATAAGCGGGTTCCCCATCTATGAGACGCGGCGGTGGGGGAACCGGAGCAGGCGGATTAACAGGGGAATGAAAAACAGGTTTTAATTTGGAAACATGAGAAACAAAATGGATTCTCCTGTACGCTGGAGGAAGGTTTGAGGCGGACTGCCACTGGACTAAGAATTTTGGTGACAGTGAATGGGCCAATCAATTTGGGAGCAAGCTTATTACAATAAGAGCGGAGAGGAATATTTTTGGAAGAAAGCCACACTTTTTGACCAACGACGTAGACGGGGGGCTTCGACCGGTAGCGATCAGTCTGAGCCTTAGTGCGCGCACCCACCTGAAGGAGAGCCTGTCTGGCTTTCCCCCAGGTGCGGCGGCACCTCTGGACAAATGCGTGGGCAGAGGGAAACGCAACTTCAGATTCCAGACTAGGAAAAATTGGTGGCTGGTAACCTAAACTACACTCAAACGGAGATAGGCCCGTAGATGACACTGGTAATGAGTTGTGTGCATACTCCACCCATGAAAGTTGCTGGTTCCAGGAGGACAGGTTCTGAGAGACCAAACATCACAACACCCGCTCCAGATCTTGATTGGCCTTCTCTGTCTGACCGTTGCTCTTAGGGTGAAAACCAGAGAAAAGACCAACACTCGCCCCGAGCAGCTTACAAAATTTCGCAGAGGAATGAAATGGGCCGCCATCGAGAACTGGTCCACTACGGTCAGAACCACCGTGTTGCCCTGAGTGGGGGGAGTGCCGTAACAAAATCGAGCGAAATGTGGGACCAGGGTCTCGAAGGGACTGACAGCGGCTGAAGGAGTCCAGCAGGGCATCGATTGGAAATAACATATTTACAAAAATGTGAGGGGTGTACTCACTTCTGTGAGATACTGTAAGTGCCCTAGCAGGACAATATGGCACAAGAAGTTCAGAGATATAACTTGGTGCACAACCAGACAATGCCTTATAAACAAACAGAAGAATTTTAAAATCAACCCTGAATTTAACGGGAAGCCAATGAAGGGATGATAAAACAGGGGAAATGTAATCCCTCTTTTTAGACCCAGTCAAAAGTCTTGCCGCAGCATACAGCTTGCAATCGTGACAATGAAGATTGAGAGTAATAAAGAGAGTTACAATAATCCAATCGAGATGTAACAAGTGCATGAATCACAACTTCCATATCCTTCCTTGAAAGAAGATGCTTCAACTTTGCAATAGATCTCATATGGAAAAAACTTGCTCTAATAACAGCACTAATTTGTTTATCAAAAAATAGAGAAGAGTCAAAAATCACTCCAAGGTTTTTGATTTGTTTGCGTACATTAGTTAAAAGAGGAGCAGGAGACGAGTGTGCAGGACAACCTAATATTAAAACCTCAGTTTTATCCTCATTCAACTGCAGGAAATTATTAGACATCCATGTCTTAATATCATGTAAACATTTCAATAACACATCAAATGAAACAGCAGTATCAAGCCTTACTGGTAGATAAAACTGAGAATCATCCGCGTAACAATGATATGAAATACTGTATTTTTGAAAAATGTGGACCAGGAGAAGCATATAAAGGGAAAACAGTAAAGATCCCAAAATGGATCCCTGGGGCACTCCACACAAGACAGGTGCAGAGGATTAGAAAAAAATTCCTAAATTTACAGAAAAATCCTGCTCTCGAGATACGAGGCAAACCACTTTAATGCAGTGCCTCAAATACCTACCATACATTCAAGTCGATCAAGAAGAATGCTATGGACAATGGTGTCAAATGCAACCAACACAACACAAGCACCTGAATCTAGAGAAAGCAGCATGTCATTTGTAACTCTAAATAGAACTGACTCAGTACTGTGTAATGATCTAAAACCAGACTGAAACTTATCTAAAACACTAAAGGAATCCAAAAAAAGACTGAAGTTATAAAAACACTTTCTCCAAACGCTTGCTGATAAAAAGCAACTTAGAAATTGGCCGAGAGTTACAGCACATTGCTGGGTCAAGCTGAGGTTTTTTCAGTAGAGGTTGCACAACTACATGTTTAAAACTGGCTGGAACAACACCTTTGGCTAAAGAGTTGTTCACTATAGCTGTTACAATAGGACTAATAGCAGGAAAAACATCTTTAAAAAGACGTGCAGGAATAATATTTAACTTAGAACCAGAACACTTCATAGTAGAAACAATATCATCTAGCTGATGTGATAAAACAAGTTGAAATATTCGATATTGACCTAGCATTCACTAAGGCCATCTTAGCAGTAGTAGTGCAGGTTGACCGCCGAGAGCTGAGGTAATAATAATACATTTTATTTATAACGCACTTTATATTTCAACAAAATCCCAAAGTGCTACACTTAAAAAAAAAAAGAAGTGTTTATTAAAATAACAAAAGAACACAGAAAAAAAAAATCAAGCAAAAGCTCTACTAAAAAGGTGGGTTTTAAGGCCACATTTAAAAGCATCCACAGACTGTGGTGTCCTCAGATGGTCCGGGAGAGCATTCCACAGACTGGGAGCGGCTGAGCAGAAAGCCCGATCTCCCATAGTACGGAGCTTGGTCCTAGGAGGTTTCAGGAGAAATGCTGAAACAGAACGGAGGGTACGTGTAGAGCATTGTGGAGTGAGGAGTTCCTTGAGGTGGGGGGGCGGGGGCGTCACCATGGACACACTAGTGGGTGAGGAGGGAAACCTTGTACTCAGTCCTGAATGAGACAGGGAGCCAATGGAGCGATTTAAGGATGGGAGTCATATGTTCATTTTTGCGCACCCTCATCAGGATCCTAGCATTTTTTGAGAAGTGGTCTGATGACAGCAGTTTTCAATGCAGATGGAACATTGCCAGCCTGGAGGGAGTGATTGATGACCTTAGTGATCAGGGGACTTTAGATATAAAATCTTCAGAGGTTAGATTTTACCAATGATGTGGGAAAGGGGTCCAGGGCACAGGTGGATGGTTTCATCTTTCTAATAATGTTCTCAACCACTTGCTGTGAGATGTCAGAGAAACAGCAGAGAGGTTGGGAAATCCCAGGCTGTGGGTTGAAAGTCGGGACAGACAGGACATGGGAGCTGGATAGGACGAAGCGGATGTTATCTACTTTTTTCCTGAAAAAAGTGATAAAGTTGTTACACCTCTCCTCTGTAGCTCCTGAATGACAATGAGTTTGTGGTTTAAGGATGTAATTGATAGTTGAAAAAAGTTGCTTGGAGTTACCAGGGCTATTGTTAATGATATTGGAGTAGAACTGTGACCGTGCATCTCTCAAAGACCTCACATAGGTCTTCTGATGCTCTCTGTAGGCTTGCCTGTGAACAGTAAGTCCTGAAGCCATAAAGTGACGCTCAAGGACACGCCCAGCTGTCTTCATCTTTCGCAGTTCACAGGTGTACCAGGGAGCTGAGCGCAAAAAGGTGACAGTTCTAGTTCTGATAGGAGCGTGGAAATCTAAGAGACTGCTCAGAGATTGGTTGTAAAAATCAACCGACTCAGTGGCTGAGGAGAAATCAACAGAAGAGAGATGCTGGAGGTCTATGGTCAAAGTGTCTAGGTTGATCTTTTTCAGGTCCCCGAAACAGATTTAAAGCTTATCTTTAGTGTAGAAAGAGGGGAGTGGCAGCTACATTGAGATGGCCTTGTGGTCAGATACACCCAGTTCATACACCATAAGGTTACTAATAGGGGCTAAGTTTGAAATGACAAGGTCCAGTATGTGGCCCATGAAATGTGTGGGGACATCAACATGTTGTTGGAGGTTGAGACAGTCCAGTAGTTGCATAAACTCAGCTGCAAAGTGGCAGGAGGGAGTGTCTACATGAATATTAAAATCTCCAAATATTATAATGTTATCAGAAATTGTGCAGAGTGTTGTAAGTAGATCGTGCATCTCTGAATAAAAACCTGAGTTTTGTTTAGGGGGCCAATAGATGAGAAGTATTGTCATGGGGAAAGGGGATTTACACTTAAATGCAAGGCATTCAAAAGAAGACAATGCAGGCAGGGGGAGGAGGGACAATTCCAAATTCTGTCTGTGTATTACAGCTAAGCCACCACCACGACCAGTGCTGCGGGCTTTCTCCAGGTAGCTGTAACCAGGGGGACATGCGTCATTTAACGCTGAGTAGACCTCAGGCTGGTGCCATGTTTCTGTAATACACAAAGTCTAATCCCTTATCCATGATGTGGTCTTGTATAAAAGATGATTTATTTGTGAGGGATTGTGTATTAAAAAGTTATATTTTAAGCGTTAATGAGGTAGTGAATCTCTGTAGAGGCCATAATACACTGGAATTCACTCCACATTTTCTGTCCTGCCTGATGTGCAGGGACCTCGTGATGTTTTCCATAAAGTCCAGCTTTGCATGCAAAGATCTCACGGTGTTTCCCGTGTTACTAACATCAAGAGCGACACTGCTCATGACGCGGCAGTCGTGCAACAGTAGTCCAGATGGATGGAATGGCTGAAGCAGAGCAGTCATGCTGATGGTAAACAAACTTACGAAGGGAACTTCTGTGGATATAAGACAGTCGTCACAGAAGTCCAAGTTCTTTGATAACTGCAATGCACGTTGGAATGGTGCGGTTGTTGAGAGTCAGCAGTTGCGGAAGGGAATACTTGAGCTTCATGCCGATCGCCAAAAAAGCTCGCAGTAGCAACGCTAAAAGACAGAAAAAATCCAGGTGTTCACCCACTGATAGCGAAAAATGACCAACAATCAACCGATGTTGGCGGGGATAACAGTAGATGAGTAGACAGCCTTCAGTTCAATGATAATCCATGCAAAAAACTGTTAAAACAGAGAAAACGGCCAAAAACAACAAGTGCCAACGTCCTTTAACTTCAATTTAAAACAATCCGTGCAAAAAACGGTTAAAAACTATTAAAACAAAGAAATTGTGACAACAGAGCAGCGGCGAACAACAGCGTCCTCTCCAGCCAAGTTGGTGAGCTTTTATGGTGCAATTATAATTTCTGTTTGAGCAAAGTGATATTTCCAAAATTGATGCTCCGACTCTTACCATTTGATCCGATGGAAGAGCGGCGATATGACGACCAAATGACTGGGATATAATCATTATCCTGCGATGGAGTCACAGACCTCACAAGGCAATCACGGCGTGATCCTCGATAGATGTACCTGGGGTGGCGTGTAATTCCCAGTGCGGCATAGCAGTTGTATATTTCGCCGGGAAGACGGTAGAACGAATTTAGTCTCTGTAAATCCAATGAAGAGTATTTATGCACCATGCTCGGAAAGCAGTTCACACCGGGATCGAAAAACAGATCCCACTTCGAATAGCAAACAGTAAAACTCCAGCAAACCAGTGCACAGATGATATAGCACCACATTTCAAACTGGATTTAGTTCTCCACGTTGAAGTTCATTCAGAAGTTCATTCAGATCCACAGTCCACGCACCGTAACAGGGCAGGCAATGGAATAATGCTCCACAAAAATCAGATGACAGTACAAAGTAAAATAAAATAAAATAACATAAAATACCGGAGAGCAGCAGCAGCCAAACACGCCAGCGTTCACTCGAACCGGAAGTTCGTGCATCACAAAACGTGCATCACACGGCTCCGGGGCTTGAATAAAGGCCTCCTGGAGCGAATCCATGCTTTTTTGTAAGAAAAATATCCATATTTTAAACGTAATAAACACTTTTCTCTCACTTCTGCTGACTGTTGTATGCAGAAGCCATTCCGGCGGATGACGTAGGACGTATGAGCCTCTGAGATATGCTAGTCTCGCGAGTTTGTTTACAGGAGCAAAGGAGGCAAAGTTTCCTTACTTTAGCAAAGGAAAACCCGTCTCCACTTGGCTTATATCGAAATCCTCCGACATTTTTCTTTACAAATCCTCGTTTTGTACTTCTAATTCGTGATTCGTTTTTCTCTCTCCGCACTCGTCACTAATCACGCAACGCCAGCATCCTACGTCATCCACCGGAACGGCTTCCGCTTATGACAGATGGAGGAAGTGATAGAAAAGTGTTTATTACATTTGAAATATGGATATTTTTCTTACTAAAGCGCATGGATTCACTACAGGAGGTCTTTATTCATCCCCCGGAGCCGTGTGAGGCACGTTTTATTATGGATGCGCTCACTTCATTGGATGTGTTTTTGACTGTGGTAAAGAAACACCCGCCGACTGCAATGATAATGCTTGGAATAGCCAGGACAATTTTTAATATAACTCCCGATTGGATTTGTCTTACAGAAGAAAGTCATATACACCTAGGATGGCTTGAGGGTGAGTAAATAACAGGCTAATTTTCATTTTTGGGTGAACTAACCCTTTAAGACACACTTAACATAGTGACTATGTTTAAGCAACTGGCCCCTGGTTATGAGCAGTGGGTCTGTTCTGATAGTTACAACTTTTTTCTTAACAGGTCCTTTCCTGGACTGTTTGCAAATTGTAGAGGCAAACGACGCTTCACAGGAACATGTCCTGTGCCTGTTAAAAAAAAACTTTTAAAGTCAATTTCCACCTATTACCGTGAGAGATCCCTTAGTGGTCCAGAGCAACTCCTTCATACACAGGCTGGATTGGGATGCAGGACTGCTATTTTAGATGAGAACATGACTCACAGACAGGCTGAATCAAAATGTAAATCCACTGTCTGTCAGTAGGTGGCGCTTAAGGAACAGCAGAAATAGAGCTGTTTCCCCGGTAACCTGTGCTACCTGTCTAGTGCTGCTCTTAGAAACACTATGTGTTAAGGCCTTTTCACACGGGACGCGGCAGTCATGAGTGTCTAGATCATTTTCAGTAGGAGACATGCGGAAATCGGCAAAACACAGGCAATTTAGGCCCTTTCACACAGTATGCCTGGAAATAATGTTTGCAAGATACCAATTTGATCGAATTTTAGGTAATTTTAGAATGACAAAAAAAACTGTAAAGTTCATCGAATGAAGACCAACCTGTTTGTTCCTCAGTATCTTCATGTTTGACTCTGAATGCTTCTTCAATCTTCACGTCTTCACTCTCCACTTTAATAAACGCCATCTTTATAATAGTGTCACGTGGATCTCAGTTGCTTCATCAGGAGTTTCTCTGTGTTTAAGATGAGAATAATTAATAGAAAGAAAGATAAATGCACACTAAATCTCTGGGTGTGTCTCAATCAGCTCTCTAGTTCAGTAGTCAGCACACTAGTAAGGGAGTCAGTCAGAGTGAGAGTTAATGGACTTAAATGACCTGATTAGACAAAAACACTCAAAACTAGCACTGCAAATGATTAAAAGGACACCGATTATACAGACATTTCATATATAGTCATTTACATTTGGTATGTATTGATTTCTAGATTATATTTAATAGATTACACTTTCATGAAAAAAGATGAAGGATCAGCAAATGAAACGTTGACCACAGATATGAATTACGTGAATGACGGAATAATCAGCAATATGCATTGACGCAAATAACTTTTTTTGAATGTTTCATTGATGTAACATGACACTGAGTTGTTAAAGAAAAGCAACTAGCTCCTACTCATGACCAGCTTGTAACCAACTCAGGAACAGCTTAAACCATCTCAAACCACGCTGCCATGCTTCAAAAATACCTAACCAGGGTATGCTGGTTTTTCGACAGGGTAGAGATATTATTGTGTGAACCGATTAATCGGGGTTTTTGAACCGGTTCAATGAGCCGAACTGTCCTAAAGAACCGGTTTGCCAAAATGAATCGGACTTTGCATCACTAGTAGGTGATTCGATCAGCTCTCTCTCCAGTGTTAGGATGCAGAGATTCGGATCAGTGTCATCACAGTTTTGCTATCTAATGTTTACTCATCGTTAAACGTTTTGGAAAATTTGTCTTTGTTTTGAGAACTGAATGGATAGTTTGGGAAATTGGGCCAACTGAATCAGTTACATTGTGCTAGCAAATGAGAAAAACTACAATGCGATTAGATTCTTACCTAACACTTCTATTAGTTTCGTGATCAGGATCTTCTTATTGATTTCATGTTATTGTTTCGTCAGATGGCAAAAGGCCTATATCAATGATGAAAGTGGAGTGGGCCTCATGCTCGCTTATGAATGCAGAAATTGCAACATGTGTAGGGTATTATGCTGGTCCCTAAATGTTCTTTCCCAACGAAGTGCCCTTCTTATTATCTGCACTCCGATCTCCATGGGGTTTTCCAAAAATGTTCAAGCCATCGCTACAAACTATAAAGGGTTAACTGTGATGCGTCAGATTCATGTCACTTTACTCACAGTTGACTGGTGAGTAAACCAACCCAACTCTGCTCAAACTAAGCGCAAACTTACCTGGCTAAAAAACCAAAACCAGCTTTCTGCAACGGGCCTCAGGTGTCGTCAACGAGCTGTGGTTCCAGCGCTTACAAACAATTAATCATTTTCACAAGCATTTGATTCAATTGAATCTCAACTGGTTTTTAAAAAGTTCTGTTCTCTATCATTACTTGTTTATGATGAAATGAGATTCGTCTTTTGTTACTCATGCTTTACTCATAAACTGTTCATTAATGTTATTAGATAGATTATAACATTACATTAAAACATTTAATTCATTTCAAAGTTCTCTATAAAACTGTCTTAATGGGTTGTATTGATTTAAACTCTTTAAAAGATTAAAAAACAAACCTTTCTTCAGCAGAATCACAGATGCAAAAGCGTGGCGCAGGCTTATGACATCACATTGCTACACCAAAATAAGAGTCCCGTTCACAAGCTAAAAATAATAGAAATTCACACACAGCAACCACATTTAAATGATAAAGGATTGTTTCAAAGGATAATAGATTTTTACTAAAGCTTCTGGCTCTAAATGTAAGCAAGTGTGAAGTGATCACAATTATAATACGACTACAGAGCAGTTGTGATATTCTCAATCATTAATAAAATCAAGTATCTTGATCTCCATACTAGTTTAATTTAAAGCATTTATAATGTAAAGTTAAATATTAAGTTTGTGGTTGCAGAGAGATCTACTGTGTAATTGATTAAATAAAATGTTATTATGATATAGCCATCCGATTCCATCTGTTTCTCCACAGAATACAAGGGAAATAAATGAAATCAAGCGTGAACTTTCTGTTAAAGTGCATTATATTAAAGAATGGTGACTGAAAAGGATTGTGTTGATGGTGGGTTTAAAGCAATTGATTTTGACTGTCTGCCACACGAAATGAAATATGAAATATTGACAGGCCGTCAAACAAAGAAATCATGAACACATACACAAACAAGAGGACCAATTAAAAATTTAAAACATTTTATTTCATTTTCGAAGCTGAGACCTAGTCTTAACACTTAGGTACCTTTATGAAAAAGCCCTTAAAGCAACTCTTTTTTTCGTTTTGAATGTGTCAAAATTGACAGAATGACATAATTTTACTCTTATTCCTAGACTTAAGTGTTAATAACTAAGGACTAAGTGTAACTGGTGTTGTCTGCGTTGTTTTTGATGGAATAAAAAGACACCAGCTGACGGTTCGACTCTTCATTTAATCTCTGATAAAAGATAACAGTCTTTATGATGTGAATTTTTTGTCTTATTCTCACTTACAGGGTTCTCGATCATGGTGGCATTCAGTGGAAAGGTGTGCATCCACATATAATTTAGAGACTCCTTGAGAAGCTGAAGACAACTGCAGGCCAAAACCTCACTAGTGGTCCAAGATATTTGGGGAGAAAGATTTGAAGCCATGGGTGTCCCAGGATTGTGTAAGTTTCATAAAAAAATAAAAATAAAAAGCTGAAAAAATATTGATTGATGGTCAGGACACAGACGAAGTAGATCGAGTCCATCAACACCCTCAAAGCTTCACAGTCTTTACCTCTTCATGGGTTTAACATTTAAATGCTGTTTAGTGTCTGATTATCACGTTATTTTATGTGTAAACAATGCTTCCTTTGCTTGCTTCCACTTCTTCAGCTGTGTTCTTGGATCTGGAGATTCAGTACTCTTTCAGAACATGGATTGCTGGTCATTTTTAGTCAACGGCGGGGAAAGAGTTAAGTAGATTTTAAGTAAATTAACTTGTACATTACCAGTGCACAAAAAAAAATTTATTCATAAAATTCTTCTAAACTCATAATTAGGAAAATGTTTTGTTTATAAATCAGTTTTCAAACAATGTAAGTTTATAAGACAGTATATAAATAAACAACTACAAGCAAAGTATACTTAAAATTATCATTTTCAGTATATCTTCATCAAAAGATCGAGTACAAGTATAGGCCAAATATACTTGGACTTTTCTGTCAGTATAAATCACTTGTAAGTGTAATTTTATTTATATTTCTGTTAAGCACACAAAAAGTAAACAAAGTATACTTTCTCATTTTTATGATGTTGCTAAAAAAGAACATTATTTTGTGTATTTGGTGTAATGAAATGTGTTTATGCGGTTTAAAGTAAAAAAAAAAACATTATTTTCCACAGACTGTACATTATTGTTTCTCCTCTATGCCCCGCCTTTCTGAAACACGTCGATTTTTACAAAGCTCATCGGTCTGAAAAGCAAGGTGTGCTGTGATTGGCCAGCTATCCAGTGCGTTGTGATTGGCCGAATACCTCAAGTGTGTGACGGAAATGTTACGCCCCTCACCATACTGTGATGATGCCCTGTCAAAAACATTAAAACCCATTACAAACGAGGCATTCGTTGCATCCCTCAGCAACAATACTACGGCGAGAATAAAAGTTGCGCCTTCTTTCTTTGCGTGAACATTTGGGCGGTGTTATGCAAATCTTCCCACACAGTGACGTAGACATGTGGGGGCGTGCTTAACACTAGAACTACCGGAATTCTATAACTACTAGAATGGCCTTAGCGGTCATTCTGACCGTTCATACTAGACTGAACTTAATGCCATTTTTGTCATTTCATATTTACATTCGAAGCTTCTTTTGAGGTTTTACAATGAAGCTTTGAATGTCTGTTGTCATATTTTATAACGTCATCACCCTAAAAAATACGGATGAATTGGAAACAATTCTATGCAGCCACCACTGGAATCGTGATCCATGAATAAATGGATCTGTTATGATAGTATAGGTAATAATAAACATCGTCACTGTAGCTAAAAAAAAAAGCCTAATTAGTTTGTTTTATTTCACAATATCAGTCTTGTTGGGGCTAAAATTAGCCTATATGCATTAGCTATATCATTACACTAGCATAAAAATAATAATAGCCATTATTATTATTATGGATATTTTGTCATAACAGTGAAGTAGGCTATTATTGATAACAGCCAGGCTATAGTCTTCCAGCCTAACTGGAACCGTGGCAGATTGAATGACAGCAGTTGTTGTATTGGAGGTGTCCACCCGGCTTTTTTACAAACAGGAATTTTAGCTTAGCAATAGAATATAAAAACAACTAGAACAAAAGTTGCTAGGCAACAGTGACGCGCATCTTTAACCGGAGGAAAAAGTCGCAAAAGCAGAAATTATACGCCGTCTGTAATGCGAACGGTCAATCTGACCGCTTTGGCCATTCAAGGTAGAAATACTCAGAACTCTTTTGTGTTTTGTAATTTTAATGAAATGTTATAATAAAATATACACACATTTAGGAAAAGTCAGGGTATTATAGTTATATGGGTTTTATTTCAACGAAGTTATTACATTTTAAAATGTAAAAACGGTCAAAATGACTGCCTTGGTAGTTCTAGTGTTAAACGAGGCGTTTTAGGAGGGCGTGGACGAGTCTTAACTTTTATAAAGAATATCTCTTTGGGTTTGAGACTTTAGTCTTTACAACTTCAGGGATCTTACCTATTCACGAACAGCTTGTAACACTCCAAAGACAAAGGAAAACTTGAAATCGCATCATGTGACCCCTTTAAAAGAGTATACCAACAGCACACTTGAATAAACTTCTTTTTGTAAGGGGACTCTTTAACTCTTTTTAAAGAACACTAACACGGTCTCACATTTACATGACTTTCCATTTGTAAGTCTAAGTT